TTCAGTTTAATGTCAGGCTTTCTTTCACTACATATATCCGACTGGGTCGTCACTTATGTATATCGGGTTTCATGGGACTCAATGAAAATTCTCTTCACTTCTTAACCACTTCAGGTCGTGGGAACATATGCCATCAAGATTGGCTTCAAGAGTTACTCAAATTACTCGAGTTACTCAAGTCACTCAAGATATTCTGATCAATTTGAGCACAATCCATTATCTCGCATTACGTTTCTCATTGCTCTCATCTTTATTCAAAGCGAGAGGGTCCTAGTGGTGGATTTCATTCGGGGACATCGGACAGTCTTTCATTCATGATTTCTTTCAGTATCATGGGTTTCAATCCTGGGTTGGGCTTCATCTTTTGTTCTGCCCCTCCCCTCTCCCGCTTCCCCCCCGCTTCTCTCTTTCTCTACCGTGCGCATTTGGTGTATTGGTGGCTTCTCAGGTTTGTGTTTTGGGAGAACCGACCTTTCAAGGCGCTTCATCATCATCATCATCTCCTCCTTCCTCCTCCTCCTCCCCCTTCTCATCCTCTCTCCTCCTCCCCCTCTTCCTCTCCTCCTCCTCTCCTCCTCCTCCTCCGCCTCCTTCTCCTCCTCTCCTCTCCTCCTCCTCCTCCTCCTCCTCCTCCTCCCTCCTCCCTCCTCCTCCCCTCCCCTCCCTCCCTCCTCCTCTCCTCTCTCCTCCTCCTCCTCCCCCCTCCTCCTCCTCTCCCCAATCCTTGATGTGACCCGTCAACCTCCTCCTTCCCCCTCCCCTCCGGCCCCCCTCCTCCTCCTCCGCTGCCCCTCCTCCCCCTTCTTTCCTCCTCCCCCTCCTCCTCCTCATCTTCCTTCTCCTCCTCCTCCTCCTCATCCTCCTCCGTCTCGTCCGCATCTTCCTCACCCCCATTCTCATCTTCCAACTCGCCCCAGCACCTTCCTCATCCCCCTACCTATTTTCCTCTACTGCGCTTTCCAGCATCCTCGCCCTCCACTGCAATCGGTGCCGCTGCAGGCTCGTTAAGTATCATGTCCTCTGCTTTCTGTTCCTACTGCTCCTGCTGACGCTGCCTCTGCTGGTATCAAATCCGATGGTTCTGCTGACGCTGATGCTGTCGGCTCTGCTCATGCTGATTCTGCTAGCTATGATGATGACGCGGTCTCTCCTGGCTCCTCTGATGCCAAACTCAATTGCCAATGTGATGATGTGAGGTGTGCGAACTCGTCGGGGCGAGCCTCCGACCTAGGCGAGCCTTCTGTTTTTGTTCTCTGCAACTATAGGCTGCACGCTAGCGTGTATATGCCACTGGAGCAGAGTCTTGCAATTGAAATTTACCTCAGAGGTCTTCCAACCAGTGTGGCGACGGGGTCAAGGGAGAGCACGGGGTCCGAGGAGGCGCCACCTCCTCAGCTGGCGACGGGTACGGAGGTGAGTCTTCTAGCATCCAGGCATCCTCTGGCCTGCAGCCCGCAGCGGCTAGCACGGCGCGGGCATCGCGGGGCGCTGCAGCCTCCTGGCGCTGCTCCTCGCGCACTGGCGCTGCTTCTGGCGCGGCAGCCTCCTGGCGCTGCGTCCCGGCGATCGGCCGCGCGAACGCCGCCTCCACGAACATCGGCTCGTACACTGACGGCTGGCGCGGTTCGGCCACAGCTTCGCGGCGCCATGACGTCGTCGAAGTCGAACTTGACCTTGCAGATGGGATCCAGCGCGCCAGAGGATCTGGCCGTGCTGGAGCTGCGCGGAGCCCTGGTGGATCTCTTGCAGGTTGTTGCTGTTGCTGCTGCTGTTGTTGCCGCAGCTGGTGTTGACGCTGTCGGTCTTGTTCTTGCTGCCGCCTCTGTTCTTCCCTGGTCCTCCTGGCGCCGTTCTGTCCGTTCTCAGCGATGCGCTCGATAGCTAGTTCCCACGCGCGATTCAACATGTCGGGCGGACCGTGAACGGTGAGCGTGCGCCCTTCTCTCCATGGGCCCTTGTTGCGGCCGCGGACGCTGGCTTTACAACCAGTGAGCGCCTTGATGGCCGTCGTGTCATTGGCGGACAGGGTGCCTGCTGGCACGGGCGCTGGTCCGAGTCGGGCTTCCGTGGGCGGCGGTGGCAATTGACGCCGCATTGCACTTGAGCAAGGTGGCTACGTGTACGCAAAAAATGATGTTGAGATGGCGGATGGCAGGGCGGATGTGCTCGGGGGGAGGGATGTTGACGGGGAGGAGGTATTGGATGTGGCACCCAGGGTCATGGAGGCATGGGGAGGGGGATGATGAGGAGGAGGAGGGACGTTTCTTTGCATAGGCGCAACTTGCTTTTTGAAGCAGCGCGGAACGTTAGCCGCCAACATATGAGACAGGCTGGTTGCCGACGTCGGGGCGAGCCTCCGAACGGCATGCTGGTTGGCGGATGGTTTCGAGATGATCGCCACTAGGCGAACGCGCAATTCTGGAAACACAAATGCATTGAACGCGTGTTCTTCTGAATGGGATGGGGGTTGGAATGAGGCACATTTGGTGAACCACCGCGCGGGGGAGCGCGAACCAGCCCGATTTCCGAGATCGCTTCGAAACCGACCGCCAATGTTAGGTCATATCCGCTGCAAGGCAGGCAACGACGGCCGCATGCCTGGCTGTAGGTCCACGAATGGGACCGCGGAGCGCACGGCCTCGACTGGGGCCCGCGCCCAAGACTTGCGCTTCTCCAGCGCACCATTCGGCATTTCTTCACATGTTTGAAAACAAACGGCGTGCGCTGCCCGACCAGAATCTTTGAGAGACCCGCCACCGAAGTAATCGCGCACTCCAAAGGCGCGGCGGCCTGCACTCTCGCACGCGATGAGGTCCCCTGCCTTAAACGATCCCTGGCCAGTCTGGCACGCTGCCGCCTTGAAGGTTGCAGGCCCTACTCCTGGGAACACCCCGGCTAACGCAATTTGAAGCGGCGCCGCCGTCGGGGCCACGAGGTGTTCCGCATGGAACAGCTCTGACTGGTCAACTCTACTCAATCGCTGCGCCGTTGTTCGAAACAACATGTGGCTGGTCCATTTGTCGGACCTACCACAATGGAGGGCAACGCTCTTCGCCTCGCGGTGCTTCCGCTCCATCGTGAAACAACTAAGGTTCTTGCGAATACGGGCAAGCGCTTCCTTGCAATGGTAGGCGTAATGAATCTTCGGCTTGCGCAAACTCTTGCCATATATGCGGAGGTAAATCGCATGATGCTGCGCCAGCGCGTAGCCCAACACAGCCGTGTGATGCACGGCGTCGTCCTGCATGCAGAAAATAGTGAGTATCTGGTTCAACAGCAATATAGAACGGCAGTGCTGTGGAAGGCCCCCATGGGGTTGTGCCACCATGAGGACGAATCGTGCGAGCACTTGCACCGCCATGACCGTTTCTGACGCGAAACATTTACAATGCCCCCCAGATTCGTCAGGCATCCTGGACTGGAAGAAACGAGGCGGAAAACGCGAAGAGTTGCTGGGGAACGAAACTTTGGACGCGAAGGCGTCCAAGTCTGCCAAACTTAGCCCAGAGTGGCCGGTGAATGCATCAGCTAAACTTGCGATTTCGTATTGGCCAACCCCTCCAGAAGCGCAGAATACGTGCATCCAGTCCTCCTCGTTGTGATTGATCGGGTCGTAGATCAACCTGACACTTCGGTCCCATATGGCCGAATGTGCGTTGTATGACAACCCAGCGACCTGCTGTAGATCCACGAATGACTGTCTGAGAAGATCGCTGTCGTCTCGTGCAGCTAACATGATATCTACAGTTTCCCAAAATGATGCAGACGTGTGCTCGTCGAATGCGTCGGGGCCTGAAATGTCGGCATCCCGCAGGTATGGTCCCAAATCTTGCGCGCTAGTCCGCCGCGCTATATTTTTGCATCTGATGCATGGTCGAAGTCCCGGAGCTCCTTTGAGAGAAGCAATTTCTTTGTGCGCCTTCTCGTCCTGGATGACGGCGAAGATGCCACATTTCAGAGGGAACCACTCGTTCCCGCACGGAAGCATGATGCCATCCATGAAATTATGGTCCGATTTGAAAAAATCAGATAACATCAGTTTGAATAGCGTCGAAAGTCCTCCGTCGAGATCGCCCTGAATCTCACGGGGCACATGCGCCCAGACGAACCAACCATCTTGGCGAGACCGAAACCATGTCGGAAAAACTGAATGCGTGAAATACATAGCCTGACATTTCCTCCGCGAGTCTGGTCGGAGCTGGTTTCCACACGTCGTCTCGTCTGTGTAGAGCAAGAACCCAGAGCCCGAATTGGATTCTTGCAAACATCTCTTGAAAAAAGCTGCAAAGTGCGCCGATTGAGCGCACAGGGTGTACAACAGCGCCTGAGGCCGCACGTGGTCCAACACAAATACTTCGCCTGATGCAAGGTTCAGGGTTGATCTCTGCAGGATGGACCCCGCGGGCGTGACGACGTCTTGAGTTCCTAACAACTCTTGTCGTAGCTCGTGGCGCGCTGCCTCAGTTGCGCGGCCGTCGCCAAGTTGAGCAACGATCTGGGCGGCACCTGCAAATGACGTGCGGTAGCCAATCTCAATTCTACGTTTTTTTGTGGTTGGCTCCATCTCAAAACTCTCTATAAGCCCAAAGCGGCTACGGTGCGGAGGAGGCGGGGGCGGAGGAAAATGAGGTCATTCATCAAAGCGAATATAGCGTGTCGAAGGGCCGCATTCGGCGACCTCACAACATGCCGCGTGTGACGGACGCCTCCAGCGAAAACGCCTGTTTCACTTAGCTTTCAGTTAGGTTTTCGGACAATGAAAATCCTACGATGGACATACGGTTTTGTAAAACGGCTGCGTCAGTTAGCTTTCAGTTAGATCACTTATAAGTCACTTGCAATTGGACTTGTAACTGCGAGGCCTAACTAATTACTAAGCTAGAGTATGAGTGCCTAAGTGGCCCCGCCTGAGAAGCGAAGGAGGCTGCCCCGTCCTGGTCGCGAACCGGATTGCCTACGCCATCGCGGGGGGCTTCTGGGGGGGCCGCGACCTGGAACGGATGGCCAAGTGGCCCCTGGGAGCATCGGACTTCCCGCGGACCACTCGGGAGGAGTTCGAACGGTTCATCCCGCACTCGGACCCCGCCTACATGGAGAAGCGCCCCGCCTGGACCAAGATCTTCGCCGTCTGGACCGACCAGGCCCACCGGAGCATCACCACCTTCTGCCTGTTCTACGGCCAAGACCACGAGAGGGAGAGACGGGGCGCCTTGAGGAGGCTGGCGCAGCTCAACCTCGATGACCCCAACCAGTGGACGGAGGGGGACCTCTTCGCGATCTGGGAGGAGCTCCACTGGGACTGGTGGGGCGGCATCCGACTGATCGTCCAGCGGGCCCTCCGCGATCTCAGAAACCAGAACCCCACCGAGGAGGAGTTCAGGCTCCACCTGTTGGAGGGGCCGGGAGGCCAGCCGCGATTCCAGATGTCCCTCTCCTTCCAGCTGGACCACCCCAACGGGTTCTTTCGAGCCCGGGTGGTGTCCCGTATGTCTTGGGAGCAACGGTCCGCCCTGTCTGCCCTCTCGCGGACGAGCAGAGCAAAGGTGCCACCCCCGCCCCCGGCGGGGCGCGCCGGCCAGGACGACAACCCGCAGTGCCCCATCGGCACGGCCCTGGAGGCGGAGGAGCATAAGGCGGCCCTGGCGGGTGTCCCTAAGAACCCGCAGGGCAAGAGGATTTGCATCCCCTTCAATTGCCACAGCACGCGCTGGCGGGGGAGCGGCTGCCGGGACGCCCGCCAGAAGATCAATGATCTGAAGGGCCTCCCCATGGAGACCAGGTTGCTCTTCTTCCGCTTCGGAGGGTTCCACAAGCTCCCCCTCGCGACGCCCGCAGCGGTGGATGCCCGCATGGCTGCGCTCCGGAAGGGACCGAAGCCCCGCCCGAAGACCCGCGGCGGGCAGAACGCCAACCGGGGCACGGAGACACCCCCGGGGGACCCCCCCACCACGGGGAGGGGGGAGCCCGAGCAGAGCGCCACGCAGGCGCCCGCCCCGGGGGTGCTGGCGTGCATCACCTGCCCGCGCCGCGCGGCTCGGGGCACGCTCGACTTCGGCCAGTACCTCCACCCCACGGGGCCCCATGCCCATCTCATGCGGGAGAAGCTGGGGCTGCAGGAAGGCGAACCGGAGGGAGGGCAGTGCATGCTCCTGAGCACCGCCGCCTCCTCGCTGTGGCGGCAGCACGGCACCCCCCCTCATCAGGAGGAAGTGCGCGCCCTGGCCACCCGCTACCGGGCGGAGCTGCTGGAGGCGGCCGGCGATGCGCCGCCGGCCTCCAGTTCGCCCCTGGACGACGCATTCCGGGCGGGAGCCGCCGTCCCGCACTCGGGAAGAGACTACCGAGAGTTTCCCTTACTGGGAGGCCCCGCCCTCACCAGCGTCGACCTCCACGCGTGCACGCTCCAGGGCGCCTACCTCCGCGAGGCGCGGATCCCCAGCCGCGCGAGCGGCGACTCCCCCGACGCCTGGCTGTTCCTCAACCAGGGGCACGCCCTCGCACTGGGGCCCACGCCAGAGGCCTTCACCTGGATCCGCTACCGGGACGTGTGGCCCCGCCCGCGCCAAGCAGAGGCGCCCCCGGCCCCAGATGCCGTCGGCGCAATTCCCCGCCCACCCAAACCCGCAGGGGGGGGTGAAGGGCCTTCGGGCCCTCAGCTCCAGAGGGAGGAAGGCGGCATCGGCGGGGCATCGCCCGGGGCCGCCACGGACGCCCTAAGCGGCGAGACCGGGGGGGAGGGGCCAGACCCGCCACCGCGGAGGGAGACCGAGGGGAGGGGGCCCCCCGCGCACCTGGACGCGTTCAACCGAGCCACACAGGCGCTGGAGGAGGCACGGGGCCAGGACATGCTGGACCTCCTGGGGAAGGACGGGAAGCGCGGCGCCCAGATCCGCACCCAATGGTACCGCTACGCCCGGAGCGTCGGAGCGGGGTGGGAGGATGCGGAGTGGGGGAACAGGCGGAAGTACCCCCAGCGGCTGATCGACACGCTCCTGAGTGAGATGAAGAGGGGCACGGTCTACCCTCCGCCGGACGCCCTACGCCCACATCGCGCGGATCTACCTCACCGCGCCGCCGCCGCGCGAAGAGGGACCCCCGGAAGCGGATGCGCGCACGACGGTGCCGGGCTGCAGCGTGCGCTACAGTCCCCCCCCACCATCCCAGGCCCCCGGCGGGGGAGGAAAGGGGGAGGGAGGCCCGGCAACGGGTGCTCCGGGGAGAGGGGCGCCCAGCGGGCCCGGGGGCGCCCCCCCGCTGGCGGGACCCCCACCCCCGAAGGAGGGAGGTCACGGGGCGACAGCAGGGGGTGGCGCGCCAGCCCAGGGCGCGGGGGGCTCAGCTGTGCCACACAAGGCCACCCCAGCGTTCCCGGCGGCCGGGGCTCCCGCGCCGGGCAGCGGAGGGAGGAGCACGGCGCCCGCAGCGGGCGCCGGGCCCCAAGGCGCCCCCCCGCCCCCGGCGGAGCCCCCTCCACTTCGGACCGCATGCGTGATCGCAACCATGCGGGGCCCACCTTCCTCGGTCTTGGCCCTAGTGGAACGCCGCTCAGATGGGTCCCACTCCCTGGTGCACGGGATCGAGCGGTGCGGGGTGGCGTCGGCCGTGGTTACCGCTTGGAGGGCCCTGGACGAGCAACTCGGGGTCGCCCTCTCTCCGTCCACGAACTGCGACACCGTCCCCCGCGTCTGGGAATGCCCACAGCACCCTGCGGAAGAGACCCCTGGGGCTGCTCACCCCTACGCCCGGCGGCTCCACTCCACCCAGGACAGAGCCTACTACTACCACTACCATTCGGTACAAGGGAACCTGCGGCAGTGGAGGGACACGCCGGGCAGGGAGTACGTCCTGGTGTCGGTGGATGACCTCCGGAGGCTGCGCTTCCCCGCCGCCAGCGACCAGCGCATGATCTGGAGGGCCCTGGAGCAGGCGGAGGAAGTGGAGCGAGTCCGGGCGCGTGCCCAGCCGGAGCCCCCGCCGGAGGGGGCGGCGGGCGCCGCGCCCGCATCCGGGACGGCGGGGGGAGCGGCAGGCGCCGACCCATTCGCCGCCCGGCCCAGCCTCCGGATCACGCTCCAGGGGATTAGCGGGCCCCCAGCACGTCGAGGAGCGTCACCGTCTCCTCCGGGCGCGCCTCATCACCCTCTCGGGCGTCCTCGACACGCCCGGTGACCGGGAAGCCCGGGGCTGCACGCACGAAGACCTTGTGGCCTCCCTGGAGGAGTCGTACTCCGAGGTTCACCTGGTGTTCTTCACGGAGTCGCGGCGCGCCCTCGCGTTCGCCTCCGGGGTCGGGCCCCCGGAGCTCACCCGCAGGCCCGAGACCGCAAAGAAGCTACTCGAGGAAGGAGATCATGAGGGGGCCCTCCATGCGGCCCTGGGGCCCGGGGTGGCCCTGGCGCAGCGACGGGCGGAGGGGGGCCTCGACCCCGCGCGGGAAGCGGAAGAGCCCCCCCCGGAGGAGCCACCCCCGGCACCCGCAGACCTCGGGAGCGCGCCGGTCGCCCCCGGCCCTGCTGGACCGGCGCAAGGAGAAGCCCAGGACGATTCGGGGGAGTCGGGCGGGAGCGCAAGAGGAGCGTACGAGGAGGACCCCGACGAGGACCCTTACGACTGGGTGGCCAGCTGGATCCCGGAAGGGACGGCGGCGGACTGGGTGCGCACCCCCATGCTGCCGACGGGCGGCTGCACTATCAGGGCGCCCATCCCCACAAGCTGGGTGGAGCTGTGGAAGCCCGAGGTCCTGCAGGAGATGGGCCACTTCCCCCCAGAGCTGGCGGCGTGGCTGGACTCCACCATTCGGGTCGGGGGGGATGGATGGACCCAGTTGGATGGGTGCCCGCGGAGCCTGGACACCCACCGCACCCTCCCGCTCCGCTTGGAGGAGGGAGGCACGGAGACGATCTACTACCACCCGAAGCACATGCTGCTGTTCTTCGTGGAGGCGCGGGAGGTCTACAGGCTGATGCACCTGGTCCAGGGCCCAGTCCCCCAGCGCCTCAGGGCGCACCGGGATGAGCAAAACCTCCGAACGGTACGCCTCCCCCCCCCCCGCCGCTTCGGAAGACCGCGGAGCCCGTCGCCGGCGGGGAGGCGGACGGGGCCGCGGGGGGGCACCCCGCTGGCGCGGAGAGCGGGGGCGGGAGGCCCCTCCCAGATCAGGACGCACCCGCTGAGGAGGGGCGGGGGGGCGGGGGCGCGGAGCCGGGAGGGGGGGCGGACCAGAAGGGCGAGGCCGACCTTGTCGGGGCCGCCAGCCCGGCTCAGGGCGCGGCGGAGGACGGGTCTAGGCTGGAGGGGCCGGCCGAGTCACCCGAGCCCCCGGAGGGCGCCCAGCCCAGGCGCCCGCGCTTCCAGCTGCCGGAGGAAGGGCCCCCGGGGCCCGAGCCGGCACCCCCGGCCGAGGGCCAGGGGCCCCAGGGGGCGGAGCCGGCGGCGCCGGCCGAGGACACCTTCGAGACCCGGGAGCTATTCTGGTCGGACGCGTGGCTACAAGCCCCGAGGGGTGGCGGCTTCCGCGACGTCCTGCAGGTCCTGGTGGAGACCCTCGTCGACGAGCAGAGGGCGGGGGCCTCCTCCTCCCCCGGTGGAGAGCGCCTGTTCCACCTGGGGGACTTCAGCCGCAGGGCCCAGGCGGGACTGGGCCAGACCAACGGGCGGATCGCGGAGGAGTACCTGAAGGACACTTTCGGGGAAGGCGTTCAGACCAATACCAACCCGTCCACCGGGAGGGAGTACAGGATCCCCGAGGTCAGGGAGAAGTTGCAGGAGACGAGGGTGGCAGCCCTGCGGAGGAGCCTGGAAGTGACCCGGCCGGAGGCAGAAGCCCCGAGACCAGCCCGGGGCGGGCTGCCCCGTTCCCCCCGCGAGGCTGGGGAGACCGACGCACGGGGCAAGGGGGGGGCCCCTACCAGCCGTGCACGGGAGGTGACCCCGGAGCCCCCGGCGGGGGCGATACTGCAGCTGGAGGAGACGGACTGAGCCGGACCCGGCCTTGTGCGGA